CCTAAACCCTAAACCCTTAGGGTTTCGGGTCTAGGGACACGGTTTACGGTTTGAAGTCCAGAGCTGCGGATGGATGAACTTCGCCTTAACCCCAAAGAACCTACTTTTTTAGGGTTCCTTACTATATAGTTTCTTTATATAAGTCCTTAAAAAGGTAGGGTCTTTGGGGTTAAGGCGATGAAATATTTGGAGCTACAGTTGCTTTCTTTCGCCGGGGGGTTGGTGATGTAGGGCTTTCGGGGTTTCGGGAGGCTTTTGTGGGATCTGAGAGCAAGGCCCCTGAGAAGCTAACTCGAAATGCGGGCCGATAGCTTCAGCTGCGGTTGTTGTAGTAAGACTCCCTGGACAGAGTGATTCAATTCAGGTATTAGGGCTTCGAACCAGATGCTTGGTTAAGCCAAAAACCAAAACCTCTGAAACAGAACATCTAAATTCCAAGCCCGAAGCTCAAACCTCATTCACAAAACCCTAACCCCTAAACCCGAAACCCTAAACCCTTAGGCTAAGCATCGTGAACTTTGCATCCTAAGCTTACAGCCCAGAGCCGTCAACCTCTCTTGGCGGCCTGAGCTGGACAGCTCAGGCTTCCTACATCAACTATTACGCGGCCTTGCTGCACCGGTTTACGGCTTTGGGGTTGGGGCTTTGTGTCTTGGGGCGCTGGGCCTGTGGTTGTGGGTTTGGGCTAGCGCCTGTAGTGTTGGATTTAAGAACATTGGGTTTGGGATTCAAGCAGCTACAACTTGCTGTTTTTGCTTTTTCATGCTGCAATGATTCCCCCCTGTCTCCTTGGTCGTTAACTGAAGTACATGTATTCGTGTTTTGTCGAATGTCTTTCTGTCCGGTGTGGTCTGCCAAAGCCGCCATAGGTTGATGATATCTAGAGAGTTGTGTGATCGGACAACCTCCCGCCTCACATGAACCTCTTCAGGCTTTTCCCTGTCCTCAGGTGGGCAACGGAGTGGTGGTGGCGCAGAACTTTGGAGACAGCGTCACGGACGCCGCGGCTGTATCGAAGCTGCGGGAGCTCTACCCCGGAAGGACGGTGGAGAGCCTAGACATGGACCCCATCGCTGGTGGGGGTGGAGGGATCCACTGTGCCACGCAACAGCAGCCTGTAGGGACCACTTCCCGGACACCCGAGACCAGCAACACAAGCAGCAGCAGGAGGATGACGGTCTCCAGCTTTCTGTTTCGGTCCTTTCTTGCATCATGGTTCCTGTATTTGTGGCCGCGCAATGTCGCTAGCTACAGAGGCTTCTGAAATTGTCACGGCTACCAGATGCAAAGAATGACTTTCAATGCGGTTCTGCTGTTCTGAGCTCTGTTGGCGTTTTCGGGCAGTGTCTGTTCGTGCACCAACAGCATAGGGTAAGGGGTTTCCCACTCGGGAACGAACTCGCGGGTCTGCATGGGATCCTCTACACCCTGAACCCTAAACCCTCAACCCCTCAACCCCTCGACCCTAAACCTTAAACCCTAAACCCATAACCCTAGACCCTAAACCCTAAACCCCTAAACCCCTAAACCCCAAACCCCTCAACCCTGGACCCCTCAAAGGCTTCGGTTCGGCTCTGAAGTCTTGGGCCCAAGATTCGGTGTCGTGAAGGGCTGGGCCGCTTCCTTTAAGCAGAAAGTCGACCATAGCGTACGGGTCACTCCATTAGGGTTTAGGGTTTAGGGTTTAAGGTTTAGGGTTTGGGGTACAGGGGCCAAAGCCTATCAATCCGACAGTTTTGACCGCATCTACGACCTCCCGCCGCCATTTTGGATCGCTTGAGCGTCCCCTGCCGCCATCGGCGCTTGAGATGTCTGCGCCCCAGGGTTCGCAAGGCCCCGCGGCCACCCCGAACTTGCAACCCACGGACACCCAAGCCTTCAAAGCCCCAAGCCCAAGCCTTAAATCTAAGGGCTTTAGGAGGGACCCTGAATAGGGACCCTTGTAGGGTATTGGGGTTAGTCTGGAGCCTAAAGTCCTTAGATTAAAAGCCCTAAAAGGGCTTAGATGCTTTCAAGTTCAAGGATCCGAATCCGAGCAAGCAGGCCCTCCGAAGAGTTTGTTCGCATAGAAAGGAGGAGGTGTGGTCTCTAAGCCACGGCCCACAAGGGTGGCCCCGGTGCACAGCAGGTAGGATTCGGGGTCATTTAGTGTTGAGTATTACTGTTTGGGGTCATGTAGTCTTGAGTATTACTGTTTGGGTTTTCATGATGTTGTGTTGGGGTTGAGGTTCAGGGTCTAGCTTTGGGCTTTGCTTGCTTGCTTTAAGGGGTTTAACTTTTCCGGGTGGGGGGTTCTGGGACGGTGTCCAGAGCATTTCGAGCTTCTGCATGTGAGGCCTTCCGTTTAAAGAGCTAAACCCTAAACCCTAAACCCTAAACCCTAAACCCGCTTGTGCTTTTTTGTGTGATCTCTGGAAGCTGATGGTGAAATTGCATCTCCGGTTCGTCGTTTCGGTGTTTCGGGGCGTTTAGAGCAACCTAAACTCGTCAGGGGCGGGGAGTAGCGCTTGTGCTGCAAGCTTAAGCTTGGGAGCTGTTGTGCTTTCGAGTCCTCCACCGTGCGATGCAGTTGGGGCTTTAAGATGCGCAGGGAAGTTCAAAACCCTAAACCCTAAACCCCCTTTAAGAGCTCTAGGCCCTGATCCGGGAAAGAAGCGCTGAATCCTGGACTGGGGGGTCTGGTCGAAGGCACCCTAAAGCCCTAAGACCCTGCTGGGTTTTGGTGACTTGTGTAAGTCTCTTAGTCTCTTAACTCCACGAATTCAAGCCCGAAGTTACTGAAAGCCTGACCCTTCAAGAAGAGGATTCCTAAAGCCTCAACTAAACCCTAAACCCTAAACCCTAAACCCTAAACCCTAAACCCTAAACCCTTCAAGAAGAGGATTCCTGAAGCCTCAACTAGACCCTCAGCCCTGAAGCCTCTGCGCTCGTCGCCAAGGGGACACCATGGGAGACCGGGGGGGCAAGGCCCCTGGGTTTAGGGTTTAGGGTTTAGGGTTTAGGGTTTAGGGTTCCAGCTGGGATAAGGGAAGCGACAACGCCCAAACGACTTTGATTTCAGGGTCTGTAGGGTTCCGGGGCGTCAGGCACCGAAAATCCCGAATTTAGGGTTTGGGATTTAGTATCGGATTTAACGTTTAGGATTTAGGGACTTCAGAGTTTAGGAGTCTGCCGCGGGGCTGTCGTCTGGTTTTAGTTGTTGGCACACGTGGCTCTATGTGAATGAGGAAGGAGGAGAAGAGCAAGATGATTCGATATTCGTCTTGCAATGATGGGCGTGGGACAGTGATGGACCTATCATGACGAACGTGCTAAGGTAACGATAATGACCAGACAGTGAACACGATAATGCCAGCCGTGCCAATGGAATGATGATGCAAGCGAGAACCTGATGTTGAGTATGCTCTGGTAGCCCTAGCCTACACCCTCTCCTGTGAACCCGACATCCGAGAGCCCTGAACCCCGGCGTCCTGGTGTGCGAGCAACGAAAGGACAGGGGCCTTGGGATGGCTGGACCGAACTTGCGATGTGGGGTGCAGTTTCAAGGTCTTTACATGTGACATGTTGATGGAGCTGCAGGGCGTTTATAAGAGGAGGGAAGCTTAGGAAGCTCATCACAAGCTTCATGCAAGCCCTAAGATCAGGGATCCTCAACTTCATGTCATATGTATCCATCCTCTGCGCTACACTACCACATACAGTGATATCGATCGTGTATGCTGTTTCTTAAGTACAGATTCCATTATGCACTATGTTGTAAGATGCCCACCGGTGGTACAGGCGAACGGCAAATCCAGGAGAGGCCGGCACAGCGGGGCTCCAATTTCTGCAAGCGCTCCGAGCCCGAAACCGAAAGCCCAGATTTTGAACCCTAAACCTTAAACCCGGAACCTGCATGAAGGGTTTAAGGGCCTTAGATGAAGAGTTGGGAGTGAAGGCTTCCCGAAGATGGTCTTAGTTGGGTTGAAGGGCTTCGTTCCCCCTCTCAGGCTCCTCGCTCGCGCTCTGTGCCTGTCTCTTCATCCTCGGAATCCCGGAATAGCTGCACTACTTCATGTTTCCTAAGCAGAAGCCGGAGCTGAAGGTAGCCATGATGCTTCAGAAAGGGACGTCTGCATATATATATATATATGTATATATATATATATATATGTATGTATATATATATATATATGCCAATTTGCGGATACCTACGCTCCATTCCCACATTTTCCACGCAGCACCTCTGGCTTGTGACTCTTAAATCGATACACCCAGAAAAATCATGCCAAAAGGGCAGCATTGGGTGGTTCGGGTTTGGGCAAGGACGTGTTGGTCTTTGCAAAGGACTTCACCTTCGCTGACGTACCTAACCGTAAGGCCAAGTTATCTCAAGTCTTAAGTTATCTCAAGCCTTACTTCAGCCACCTTTCTGCCGTATCTCCGGGTTTCCGGTGCAGGTCAGCAAGGTGGCCGTGACAACGGGGAATGGCGTGGCCACAGCAGCGCAGGCCAGCTGCAAGTTGCGTGCAAACCACAAATCGCACCCTGCGATCCAGAAGGACCTCCTCAAAGCTAGACATCTTCGAGTCAGGGGTTTCCGGGGGGGGGGGGGGGGGGCTCTCATTCCCTCCCAGAAAGGTTGTTTATGTTTTGCACGCCTTTCTGGGCTTTCGATTGACCGAGAGGATCCCGTGCTGCATACACAAAAAATACCTGCATAGACAGACAACTACATAGACAAAGAAACAAGCAAGGAAGCAAGCAAGCAAATGAACAAGCAGCGCAGTATCAGCACACCTCAGCCCAAAGTAAACTCCCAGCGACCCCTCATGTTGGAACCTGATTTAGGGTTTAGGGTTTAGGGTGATGAAGGAAGCCAGGGCTTCAAAATCCCCAGTCTCCTGCATGGGAGTTTCTGAAAATTAGGGGTACCTTATTTTGGGGTCCTTACAATAAGGATCCTACTATTTAGGGTGCTACATTAGGGTCCCCTATTTTTGGAAACCCCCATGACATGGGTTCTCGGTTTACCCTAAACCCTAAACCAAAACCATAAAGCCTAAACCCTAAACCCTAAACCCTAAACCGTTTAGGGTGATGAAGGAAGCCAGGGCTTCAAAATCCCCAGACTCCTGCATGGGTCCTCCAGATGGCAAGGTGCAGGCTGGAAGAAGCCATGGCCGAAAGAGCGAGAAAGCCATGGTGCGGCATCTTCCTTGTGGAGGGCATATTAAGGGATGGCCTTTGGTGGGAACGTTTGGGACTTATAGCCTTAATACTTAGAATAGGGTTTCGGGGCCCATCATACTATAACTATAAAAAGGAACCCCTCCAAGAATAGTATAGGTGATTATGTAGTTTAGGGCTTCGGGTTTTCTGGGGTGTGTGGGGGGGGGGTTTCGGTGGGGTGGACCTCTCGGGGGGTCTTTCATGCGCCGGATGCACGGGAAATTTGCGGTAGCTCAGGGATGGTTCGGCGCGTGAGGGCCCGTGTGCAAAGGAATTTAGCGGAGTTGGGTGGTTCAGGTTGAGGGCCCCGTCTTAGTTTAGGTTTCGCAGTGCGGCTAGTTGTTCAGGACGTAGGATTCCCACCATACTCGTAGCTGGTTGCGTGCTGTTTCTCAAGTTTAGGCGTTGAGCATCCGGCTGACAGTTGCGTCAATGTGCTGGTACTGAGATGACTACAGCTATTGAGACGGTGACGTCTACTGCTGCTGTTGCTGCTGTGCCTTCTCATCCTTGTGCCCATCCTGTTGCAAGCACCTTAAACATAGCAGTGATTGCGCGATGCATCTCGCAGACGTCGTCAGGCAGAGGAAACAATGGCTGGAATTCGGCCATCGAAGGAGCGACAGCATCATCCCAATCCAGATATCGTTTCACTCAGATATGATAGTGGTGTGATGTGCTGCGGTATGCTTCGGTACTGTATACTAGACTGGTATGTTTTCTTAGGGCATGAAATGCTGGGTATGATAGGGCACGCGCAGACATGCTGCCTGTCTGTCCGTCTGTCCGTCTGTCTGTCTGTCCGTCTGTCTGTCTGTCCGTCTGTCGGTCTGTCTGTTTGGATGTGTGCATGTATGCATGTAAGCATGGCTGGATGCATGCATGCATGCATGCATGCATGTAAGTATGTACAGGCACATATGCGTATACACTGATCCTCTCCATCCGCACACATTCACGGGAGGCAGAGAGACAGACACGTAGCCTGACACAGCATAACACACCCGAGCACTACTTTCACTACATGACATGGCACGACATGGCATGTCGTGA